CTCTTTCTAGTTTCCTACCAGTAGATGTCAATCTACCACTTTGAATAACTTCTGGCCTTTCTGCAACTGGGTGTCGCTGTTTTTCTCTCCTGGCAAGGTAATATATTGTGTGGTGACGCTCAGCAGCTTTGCGTCAGTGAATTCCAAATTAATCCAGTATAATGATTTCCTCCCTCTCCCCCTACCCACCGCATCGCGAATGATTATTTAGGAATTCATGAATAGGGATAGAAAATCGGTCGCTGGAAGTCAGAAAGTTAGAAGTGAGGTGTGGTGGTGCTCTCAGACAGCAGTGAACAGTGCAAAAAAAGTACCAAAAAAGTCGCCCACTTCTACCAATTATAAAGTTATTGGCTGAATTGGTTGGCAGAACTTACTTTAGTAAACAAATAAGTGATTTTAAGTTTGGAAAGAAAAATCATAAAGATCATTCCCAAACAAACAAAAAAGTCAAACGATATGCTGAAACCTCTTGGCATACAGGTTATAGTTTATCTTGGAATCTGCACATATTAATTTAAGAAATACACACTTAAAAAGCAGAAGGTCTTCATTGGTTTAATTAGTCAGCTTGGCCCAAAATTGGTTAATTTCGCCTCTAGATGATTATCCTACTCTTTAAAAAAAGATAAAAGAAACAATAAAAAAATAATTTATTTATTTGTAGACGTTTTCTGGTAAAAGCGAGTGACTAAGAACTGTAGTCAGTGAATCATTCAGCATTTGATTTGCTGGTTCGTCCCCATTTCTTTCCCAACCTGGAGACTGCGCAGAAGGCGTCGGGGGAAAAGTGCATGTGCAAGCAGAACTAAGAAAGTTCGCAGACCCGAGGTGCAGGATGTCCCGTTAAGGAGAAAAAAAATCCTGCTGAGGAGCAGAAGCAACACAAGCTGACGGGCTGAAAGGACTGCGAACGGCACTTACCGCACAAGATATACTGTTAACCAGAGAAAATGGGCTTTCCGACGATATTCAGTTGTCGTCGGAGTCTTCTCAAATTGTTTTTGCTTCACTTCATCGCGTTCCAAACAGTAAATGCTCGCCCTTCTCCTATTATCAGGTTTCCCGGAGACGATACCCCCAGAACAGACAAAGAAGTTGCTTTGGTAAGTTTCTGTCTTTTTTCCCCTCACGATATGTCTAAGTAGGTCAGACAGCAATGAACTGTTTTTACCCCTGGAGTACCAGAAATGAACAGGAGTAGTTTTCACATTATTTATTTCTTATTGCTCTAATTTTATATAAAGATACCCTAAGAACGCTAACCTATTATTTTATGTTTTTATCCAAACTTTAGCATTATCTAAACAAGTTTTATGGATGCCCACAAGACAGATGTAATCTTATGGTGCTCAAGGATACCCTGAAGAAAATGCAAAAGTTTTTTTCTCTGCAAGAAACTGGAGAGATTGATGCCAAAACTGTAGAGATCATGAAAAAACCCCGCTGCGGTGTCCCAGATGTGGCCAATTATAACTTCTTCCACAGAAAACCCAAATGGCAGAACAAGGACGTCACCTACAGGTCAGAGAATTAACAATAACACACATGATTAGAGAGGCTATGGATTATGTTATAATGGGAGTGAGTGCCAATCCACTGTGACTCCAAATTAGTTCTCAAACAATTGCGGAGGGTTTAATCAGCTTGGCCTGCAGAATGGTTATGGCATTACCACTGGGTGTGATCTAATAGCTTTCGAGTTACTTGGCATGCTGCACTTTAGGAAACCGTTTACTGCACAGCACTATTTTAAAAATCTGTTGCTTTAACAATTGCCCATAAATCAAAGTTGTTGTACTGAGACATATTTGCCCCAGTCTGACCCTCTAAAACCGACCCCACCCTCTCCACAGCCTCCATTCCACACTACCCCCATCCACACAGTCTTGAAGTGCTTGCATCTTTATGTCTCGCTAACACCAGCATTCCTACACAGTATGTGTCAGGTCCTTTGTTTTCATTCTGTTTGAGGTTTACTATGATGTGGATGTAGTTTATTTATATCAGCGGTTTTGCATGTTCTGATCATTCCAGCCTCTCTGTCTGTGTGTTTATAAGAAAGACTGGAAGCCAAAGACAATAACAACTATGAGATCTTAGACTGTTTTCAGGAAAAGGACTGTGTAGACAGGCATACAAATGGGTTTGCGGCTGAACATTGTTTCAGGAGGTGCTTTTACAGATTACTCATACTGGCCTCTTTATTTTCCATGATCTTTGGTAAAGAAAGGAGAATTTGCAACACTCACAGATTGTCCTGATTGGACAATTCAAGTCATGCTTGTTGTTTTTTTTTTTGTTCTACTCAATTTGTAGAATCCTGGGTTACACTCCAGATCTGGATGAAGAAGTCATAAATGATGCTTTCTTCAGGGCCTTCAAAGTATGGAGTGATGTCACGCCACTCACTTTTACTCGCATCATGGATGGAGAAGCAGACATCATGATTAATTTTGGCCGCAATGGTATACTATGTGTATAAACATCACACTATATAGATATTCCATTTGTTATTTGAAAACTATTGTACATCTGTACCCAGGTGGGTTTACGAGAATTACAATTAATAAAGAAATGTATCAGTTTGTTTTATAATAATACGCATATTGTAAGCCCTCAAAATACTCCTTTTATTGGATCTGCCACATCTTTGTAATAGAATAAAGAGATTGTACCGCAGGATAAAATTCTAAGAATGTTCCTATATAAGTCAATATTTAAACAGAAGCTCACCGAGTTCTAGACTAATGCTGAAGGAGCAAAAACATACACCTTTTTAAAGTAACATTCTTTTCAAAGTGACTCTACACCCCGCCATCCTGTATTTTAGGAATTCTTTAACCTCTTAAGCCCCAAGCCTACCTGATCTCCTGCTTTTTGCCCCCGTATCAGGGGGCGTTGGGGCTTAAGAGGTTAAAGACAGTGGGGATTATGGTATTAACCCAGGTCATTCCAAACATTCCAGCTAAAATAACCACTTGATATTTACCCACATTCTGTCTGGTCACAGCTGACTATATTCAGAAAGAATCTAGTAATTATAGGGAAACGC